TTGTGGATTTTTTATTTTTATATTAAAATAAAATTCTAAATAAAATGATTAAAGTTATTTAATGTAAAAATAGAAGAAATATGATGTGAAATGATGATTAATTTTGTAGGGCCTGATTTTTGAGTATTGTGTCATAATAGGGCCTATATTTTTAACTTTTTCACTCGAGGGTTTCATTTTTAAATTATTCTCGATATAAGGCTTACTTTTACATTCTACATTCAATTTAATACTCCAAATTACTTTGTATTTTAACATAATTATGTAAACCACAATAATACTTTTTTTAAAAAAAAAAAAAATTATTTTTTGAAGTACATATAATAAAAAAATATCTTAGTAAAATTGCCTAGAAAGATAATTATTTCATAATTTACATTTGTACAAAAGCTTAATGAAATTTATTTTAAAAGTTAAAAAATAAATTTTAACTTAATTTTAATCTAAATATGTGATAAAATTAAAAAATTATCTATTTAGAGAAATAAACTAAAGTAATTTACTAAAGTTATTTATGATTACTTAAAATAAAAATTTTGAAATAATAGTATTTGGTTTATATATTAATTATGTAAAAATATAAAGTTACTTGGGGTCTTAAGTTGAGAATTAGGATGTAAAAATAAGCCTTTTATATAGAATAACTCAAGATTCAAACTCTCAAATGAAAAGTTGAAAATTCAGGCCATATTGTGACACAATAACAAAAAGTTAAGTCATGCAATAAAAATTTTTTCTTAGTTAAAATTATGTGACTAAATGAATAGTAAAGATATGATGTGTAAGAATAATAATTTAGTATTATTGAATAATATAATAAAGGATAGTGAAATTAAATTAAACTTGAGTCAAATTTTGATTATGAATTAAATAAATTTTTTTATATACAAACACACCCTCACGCTCTCTTAGAGCAACAGGGTCAACGGAGGAGGAAATCAACATCTATTATTCCCAACTCATCAGGCATTACAACATTAACATAAAAATACTCAAAAATCTTATACCAAAATTCACGAAACAAAAAGAGAATAAAAAAAATAACAACATAAAGTGGCCGCTGCTGAAAGATTGATTAACCTGTCAAACAATCACACTGTCCTCCGGTAACTTTTTATCTCTATAAATAAAAAAATAAAAAAATAACCATTTTAAACTCTTCCACCTTCCTCCATAACACCTCCACTATTTACAAAACAGCCCCAACAAAACTTCGAAATTTCACTTACATCCCTCTCTCCCTGGCAAAATTTCAAAATTGGTCCTATAACTTGGCCACAGTCCAAAAAACCACCCCTATATTGACCACTTTCAATTTTGGTCCTATAATTTGTCAATTTCATCAATTTTGGTCCCTTTTTATCCTACCCTGGATAAAAATACTGACGTGGCGTGACGTGGCACTCAGTCAAATTTATTTGCGATTTTTGGGTGTGATGTGGCGCTCTAACTGCTAAGTGGAAATAACACCTAGATTAAATTAAAAAAAAATTACAACAAAAATGTGAGGTGGAATTAACACCTAGATCAACCAAAAAAAAATATATTGCATTACCCAAGTGTAAAATAAGCCAAAAATTAAAATAAAAAATTAAAACAAAAAAAATGAAAATCACCGTGGTACCCCCGTACTGGAAACAATTTCTGCAGATAACGAAGCTACCATCGTCGCTGTTGTTCCCTGTGTTCGACTTGCTTGAGGAACCACCGCCGCTTTCACCGGAAATTTCATTCTCATTTTTTTCTTGGTGTTTCAAAATATAAGCACTCGAAATTAGGTTGTGATGATGAGGAAATTCAACTTTCCAGATTTCTAATTTTGTTGAAAAATGTAATGGGTTTCGAGTTCAAAGTCGAAATTAGGATCTAATTTCACATTCTAGTTTTCTAATTTCACTTTCCAGGTAATGGTTTTTGAGTTCAAAATCGAAATTAGGATGTAATTTTACTTTCTAGTTTTCTAGATTCACTTTCCAATTCAAAGTCAATGAAGAAAATTGGGGCTGTTGGAGGATGAATGACAGAAGAAGGTTTCGATGGAGATGATAGAGTAGATGATGTTTCTGAAAGAATTCCTAAAACTCCAGGCATTTCAGAATTTGTTGCAGACACTTTCTTCAAGGAGTTAGCCAAGGTGATTGAAAATTCAAATGATATTCTAGAAGTTCTTCATGCTCGAGATCCCTTGGGTACTTAGTTATGTTCATATGGAAAAGACGGTGATAAAGCCGGCGACTGGTGGCCGGCGACCGGTGGTAGCGGCCGGCGGAGGCGAAAATTGACCTGATGTGTTGACCCTATAGATCTAGGGTTGAATGAGTTATCGTTCCCCCTTTTGTAATCCCGCCAGGTAATCTAAAATCACGCCACATCAAATTAAAAAACCGCCACGTCAGTATTTTTATCCATGGTAGGATAAAAAGGGACCAAAATTGATGAAATTGACAAATTATAGGACCAAAATTAAAAGTGGTCAATATAGGGGTGGTTTTTTGGACTGTGGTCAAGTTATAGGACCAATTTTGAAATTTTGCCCTCTCTCCCTCCCTAAACCAAGATGCTATTCGGCAGCCAGTCCACAACATCTCCTTTACTCTTCCCCCGATCGCACGAGTCCGACTCGACCACCAGCCGAACCACCGAGTTGCTCCTATCCCCTGCTGGGAGACGCGGCTTAAGCTCTTCGAAACTCGGGCCCACCACTCCCTCCACCCACTTCTCCAGGCTAGTCGAGTCATGCCACAGTCCACCAAGTATCTTGTCCAGCACATCATCCCCTATCTCGATCTTCAGGTTTTCATCCACTTCCATCGAGAACTTCACCGCTATTGTTTTCTTGATCTCCCGGCGCACGAACGCCGCCTCGACTGGCCTGAACACGATCGAGTCGTCCACGCAGCTCGCCAGGTCATGCGGCAGCGACACAATCGAGAAACCCCCATCCGTGGGCTCCGCATCGTCCCCTCCGTCCACCGCCGACACCTCGCTCGAGTCGACGGATTTTTCCTCATAC